GGAACGAAGGTGTATCCGATGAAGTCAGTGCAAGAATCTCAAAGGCTCGAATCACGTTTGCTAATTTGCGTCACTTGTGGCGTCAAAAAGGTATCTCACTGGATCTTAAGGGTCGTGTGTACCAGGCTACAATAAGGGCTGTGTTGTTGTATGGGTGAGACATGGCCTCTTCGGGTAGATGATGTGAGGCGTCTTCAGGTTTTCGACCACCGATGCCTCAAAAGCGTGGCTGATTTCGGATGGCGTCAGTGTATCAGCAACGAGGCGATTAGAAAACGGGTATTTAGTTGTGCTGCAGACACCTCAATCCGGGAAAACATCCAGCATCATCGACTACGATGGCTCGGTCATGTGCTACGCATGCCGAAACACCGTCTACCGAGACAAGTGTTGTTCTCCGTGCCTCCTTCAGGATGGCGCACACCGCGAGGTGGTTGTACGGCAGTGAAGCATCAGTGCCAACACTGATGTTGCTGTCATTTGATGATGATGATGACCTAGCCTTGAGACTTTTACTCAAAAGTATGACGCACCGAACAGTGCGAGAACGTGGAATGCTGTTCGAGTACTCTTCCCTGGGCCATGATTCAAAAGACAGCCCTTACTGTAAAAGATAAAGATAAAGCGTTCAGCTGTAGCACCCTTCCGGTGCCTAGCTGCCATGCCACCCGAAGGAAGCACGAGGGCTGGGATACTGCCAGGTTGCCCAAGCCTAGACAGGGGAAGTCGAGTGGCGGAGGTCGGATTCGAACCGCGGACCTTCAGGTTAGTAATCCGCGCTCTAACCACTTCGGCCATCTCGCCCTTACTGTACCAGGCTACCGCCGTCTTTCCTGATAAGGACCGTGGTAAAAGACAAACTAAAGGTTATATACCTTGACAGATGGTTGTGTCGCGTAGCCAGTGGCAGCCTTGCGTTAGCGGTATCGCCTTCACTGTCCCTCTGAATCCCTGTCACACCGGACGAACAAAACTATTCGACGTCAATGAACTCGTTGGACCGATGTGTGCTCTCTCAATCATTCCGACGTGTCTCGGAACGATTGTAATAAGCTAGCGCTAAGTCCCGTTTCCCTCCACCTCTATTCCTTTCTTCACGATAGGGCTTCCAAATAATCATGGTTGTACGGCAGTGAAGAATCGATGTTGAACGTTGATGTCATGCTGTCGATGCTGATGATGGTGGTGATGACTCGTGGCTCTCATTCCCTTCTACTCTTTATCATCGGTGAACAAAGCTGTAGCAACCAGAACCACTCCTGGTGAACGGTTCGTAGGCTGAAAAATACCTTCCGGAAGGAAGCCGTGTTATGCTAATAGGCGCCCAGGCTTGAAGGGTGGGTTCGATTCTGTTAACCGACTCGTTCTTCGCTTGTGTAATAAAATGTGCCTCAGAAGTCAATGAATGTCATGCGCTTTTTGCATTCACAGGCTTTTGGTGCCAAATACTACACCGGTGCTATCCAAAAAGTTCCCTACAAGTAGTATTGTCCGAAAAGTACACCCACCCCTTCCATCGTCATTGATGAGGTACTGATGCGAATTCTGGGCCATGTGTCATTCGTGCCGAGGCGAGCGCTGTTTTCCACATCTAATTCAGAGTGGCAGAAACCTAAAAGTGGACAGTATTTGACATTAACAGGGGGTTCAATGATGTTACGAAAAGTTTGGGCGCTGTTGGTTCTGTTTGCCTTCCAACATGGGGCCCACGTGGCCTTTTCTGCTCTAGACTGGGAGCATCGAACAATTTGACAGCTGCACTGGCCATCGCCGTCCGTAGGTTGTGAACCAGAGACGGGATTTATCAATGGTTAGGAACATTGACAGACATGGCCCAGCACCGTGCTCAGTGACGTACAAGCTTTTGATATCAGTACATAGCTTCCCTCCCGATCTTCTCAATGTGAAGTCCACTGTTAGCTGGGGCGAGATGGCCCAAGTGGTTAGAGCGCGAATTTACTGACCGGAAGGTCCGTGGTTCGAACCCGACTTCCGCCACTCGACTTTCCCTGTCTAGGCTTGGGCAACCTGGCAGTATCCCTTCCCTCGTGCTTCCTTCGGGTGGCGTGACAGTTAGGCACCGAAAGGGTGCTACAGCTAAACGATTTATTTTTATTATTTCCACTGTTAGCTACTGCATTCAATGTCTAGCGCTCCATCCATATTTCCCCAGATCACTGTTGAACGAAACTGTAGCAGCTGTGGCCACTGTATAGCATGTACGTGGTTTTTTGCAGCCGTGATGTTGTAGAGACCTCGGTGGAAACAGTAAGAATATTGCGACTGTCACGATATGCCCAGTATCAAGCCATTTCTCGTTACGCACAAACAAACCAGAGACCAGTGTAGGGCAAGACCATTGCAAGGACTGTGGCAGAACTCAAAACCTGACATCCGTGGTCGGATTTAAGGTCAGCGGTCAGACGGTCAGGGGCGAGATGGCCCAAGTGGTCAGAGCACGAATTTACTCACCGGAAGGTCCGTGGTTCGAATCCGACCTCCGCCACTCGACTTCCCCTGTCTAGGCTTGGGCAACCTGGCAGCATCCCAACCCTCGTGCTTCCTTCGGGTGGCATGGCAGCTAGGCACCGGAAGGGTGCTACAGCTGAACACTTTCTCACTTTCGGCGGTCAGACTTAGACTTGAGCTGAATGTACCGTGACGCTCGTTTTGGAACCCTATCTGTATACCGTAACGTTTGTCATTGTACACTAGAGTGGCCCATCTTCGTTGAAAAGATTACATGGCCATTACTTACTTTTTAGCCGACTGATTTCAATGAAGAATCTGTATCCACCCGTAACCCTGTGAATATTCAGATAACACGGTCAACGGTTCATTAGCTCACAATCAACTGCTAATTTTATGGGCCGCCCATCTCTGACGGACGTCCTGATACCTTTTCACTCCCGAAAACCCTGCTTTAAATGGCACATCACGTTCGTTAACTCAGACGGGTGTAAAGTAAATTGCTGCAACGTTGATCGCGTTTGACACAACAGGTTTATGTGCCAGCACAGACAAGCAATGTGAAAGCGCTGCGGTCCCGGAATCGAAAAGAGCTGATGAATGAACTTTTGCGAAAAATGACACACGCTTTTGCTGAAGAAAGTAAGTTGGCATATTTGACTCTATTTAATTGTTTGTAGCCCCAGAGTTGGCACCCCTTCTAAAACCTGGCACTGAATTCTTCCTCAAAACTCGTGTGATTAAGCCGCTGCAGGTAATGTGAAACACTATCAGCTCTTCATGTTTTTAACCATTGGCTTTAACGTTGTTTAAATGCGCGTAAGTTTTAGTGTATTCTCGTGAACACTGCACTGTTGGTGTACATTTCATTACCGTGTTTGTTTTATACCTCATTTGGTGCATGATGTGTCCTCGGTACTCCGATTTTTTGGTTTCACCAGGCGTTTTCTAAAGCTTTACGGATAGAAATAGCTTGCTTTTTCGTGGACTACCTTTCTGGCATAAAATGTACATAGGTAGTCAACTACCGGATTGGATTTGAACTAGTCTTTCTGTCCTAATGCTCTCACAGAAGGCTTGTTTATAAAATGCCAGACCAGACAATATTTGCTTTAAATTACGATTCTTATTGCATACCACAGCAGGTCCAGCACACGATTAGCTTGGTAGCTCCGACGAAAGTTGTACTCTCAAGAGTTCCGGGCCGAATTCGGCTCGGATGGTCTATCTGGCTTGTCAAGCATAGTAGCCAGATGTCAAACAGGGATCCTAACAATGACGCATCACAACCAACAACAAGCAACGGAGGCACATCCTAATCAAAGTACACACCCAATCGCACGTGCACACACACAGAACTAACACAACCACACATGGTGTTCGCATTTGACTGCTAACTGGTCACAGGAGTACACCAATCGGAAGACAGGTTAGTGGACCAAAGTGACGCTTTTGACTGGTATTCAAATAATTGTGGAAATCCTTGAAAAAGGTTGCCCAAGGCAACCGAAACGTTGAAGTGCAACATCTCATTCCACTACGCTCTGTCTTAGCTTTAAAATTTCCCCATAAAGCGATTTTGTCTTTGCGTCTTCTCGCAAACTAGATCATGGGACCATGGGCGGTTTGATTATTTGTCTCCTAGAACTTTTTCTACTTCGTCTTTGATGTGACTTTTAGCAACTACCTGTTGAATGAAACCTGCTGTTGTCGTTGGCATTTTTACACGCACGAAAGTTTCCTGCACCCTATAAACCGGCAACCCGTCCCTTCAACCTTCCGTTGTCTCTAACACGAGTATGTGTGTCCCAGACTAGTTTTCCCGTAAGAATACTTCAACACTCGGTAAACCTGAATCGTTTTCGGTTCAGGTCACATGAAGGAAGTTAAGCGCCATATGATGTGGGATTATGAAATAGTTTGGCGCCACAATGAAAACTTCTGGATTACAAATTCGTTACCCATTTGTTTATGTTTTGATGTCAAAGTATCCACTTTCGATTTTAACTGATAATGTTGCACTTTGAAGACTGAGGATCTAAGGCGTCTTCAGGTCTTCTTCCGTCGACTCCTTCTGAACCATAGTTGGGATTGGCTGATAACAAAGAATTCGTAACGAAGTGATCAAGTAGGTTGGTAATTGTCAAGGCCTCAGGTAACTCAATCGTAAAATGCGTGTAGCACCACAGAATACGGTGGATGGGGCTTGTGCGACGCATGCCCAGTTGTCGTCTACTGAGAATGTTACTTTCTACACCAGACTCCGAGTGGCACAAAATATGGAGGGGATGAAGTATGCCGTGGCAGAGTGGAGTGGAGGAGATTAATGGTGCTGTCCACTTTCTGGGATAGGGTACTTAATCCACACTGCTTGGTTGGAATCATTCCAAGATATAGCTGTTGATTGGTGCCGGTTTCTATCCAAATGGAAATCAGTCCAGCGGAATTTAGTGTACTGGCTACTGCGTTCCCGCTTTGCCTTGCGAGGAGGAACGTATTGTCGGATGACATTCATTCTTCGATGCGTTTAGATGAATGCAATGAGGGAGGTGGAAGTCGCGTGCCTATTCAGCTTTGTCCACCCTAAGGATCCTTTTTTCAGTGAAATGGCCTTTGGGGTAGCTGAGTCATGGATTACCAATATTCGCCGACGTGTTAGCAGGCGCATAGAAATTTTCAAGACTCAGTTCAACTTGCAGCCGGTTCCTGTCCCAAATATGCAACCTGCTAAATTCATCCCTTCGGTTATCTCAATCTATCCACCTAATACACACGAGATGCAAGAAATGGTGTTCATTTTGATGAATAGTAAACCACCAAACGAGAAGGAATTATCGGCGGAGCTTTTCAGGACCTTAAGGAGGCTGCTGTTCTATCCAATCATCGACCTTTTAGCCAAAATATGGTCATTGGAATCCATCTCGATTTCTCGGTGGAAGTCAATCATTTTCCGATCTTCGAAAGAGAACTGAAAACAGATTGTTCACATCGTCAGAGGATGCCTTAATTCAGTTGCGTTCAAGATTTTGGTGGCTATCATTCCTCACAATCATTCAGCGGTACGTGATGTCGAGATATGCAAGCCAGTCCCCGTCATCGAAGGGGTTGAATTCACCAAGTTTTCAGTCGGTGGCAACTTTTGGAACCGTCATGCTTGTCAACGCCCTACCGTCGTTGTCTCCTGAGCTGCTTTGGATTCTGTTTTCCTGTCCGTACTGTGGGATTATCTGGTAGTATTGGTGTGCTGGCGAAATTCGTGAACATCCTGAGATGCATTGAAACGATTGATCGCGTCCACTTTTAGGGTCAACTAGCGGTGTTTGGCAAAGGGCCCCAATCTCCCATTTCCTATTTAACTTCACTGACAACATCCATATGGGTGCAATGTCTGAACAAACGTGCTGTGGCATGGAACCTGTATCGGGTGACAGGATTCAGTAAACAGACCACGCTGAGTGTATGGTTCTTATGGAAAATGACATGAAATACCCACCGAACACGATTGTCCGCCTCACATAGGAAGGAAACCATTATGGCATGGTCTTCTCAATAACGCTGTGAATCCGTTGCTCAACGCTGGTCTGGACCCGTAATTGGACTTTTTAATGCTGTTGAAGCACTCGAAATGGTTAACCGCTTTAACTACCCGGAGAGCCAGGTATCTGGACACCGAAATCTAACTCATCACCGTCATCATTATCAGCAACGTGAGTCTCGACACTAACGCTTCATTGTTGTACAACTATACTGCCGTACATCCACTTTAAAGCCTTAGAGTAACCAAACCAGGAAAGAGTGTGAGGGAGAAGACCTGGTACTGGCCTATCGCAATCACTCTGAGATGCCCACAAGAATCAGAAAATCTTGCAAACAACTGACAACCCGACGCTAGTGATATCGATTGGCCTCTATTTGTTGCAATGTTTCCAGCCAGGCGCGATGGAATCGGAGACACGGGGGCCCCATCCTGTAGGCGGATCGCACTGATAACACCCAGAGCCCTCACAATCTATTGTACCCTTCTACCAAGTTACGTCGTCCACCCTGCAGTTTGGCATTTTGAAAGAGGCACGGAGAATAACACTCACCTCGGGCCGAGCCGCCACAGTTGATGGTGCTGGATTTTCTCCGCGACGGAGTATCCGATGTACAACCAAATACCCGTTTTCTACTAACTACGAATTCGTTGACGCCATTTGACGATAGAAACATTTCCGAGACGTCGATGGCAAAGAACTGAAAAAGCCTCACATCATCTGTCCGCAGAAGCCACGTCTCGCAATGATACAACAATACATCCCTTATTGTAGCCTGGTACATGCGAGTCTTGAGAGCCAGTGATGTGTCTTTTCGACACCACAAATGGCGCAAATTAGCAAACGTGATTCTGGCCTTTGAGACTTGCGCATTGACTTCATCAGACACACTTCTGTCGGAGCTACTACAACTACCGAGGAATGTAAGATTCCTTACAATCACAGTGCTTCTTGAATTACGAAGGGCACTTTCAGATGGTGCAGGTTCTGAAGTGTGGCTTTACACTTCGAAGGTGCGAGGCGCATGCCAAAAGATGGTATCCTGGTAGCCAGTTAATTCAACCTGAGGCGGCCTTCCTGTAGCACATTGAGTTGAAGAGTATTATAACCGGGAAATCCAGTTGAATCTCTCGGTAACATCACGCCAAATTTTAAGTGACCATACAGCTCCAGATTGATTCTTTATTGAACTCCATTTATCTTGACAGACCATGTTTCGGAGGGCTCACGCGCGCTCTGATCCACCGGCCACTCGACATGTGCTTCAGACATCAAAATTCAACTTTCCAACCAATCCCGGAGATCTATGTGAGCTCGAGGAATTCACGGAAGCTTTTGTGCAGAAACGGATGGAACTAAGTAAGGAAATTTCGGCGTCTTTATGTCCTGAAACTACAACGGGCACTCATAAGATGTGTGGTATCACTTGCTACCGTACACTCTCAATCAAACATTATTCAGATGTGACATTAGTTGTGGCCCCAACTTTCTGGTGCGCCATTTATTTGTAATGTTCCAAAGTTTGTTTCTACAGTTATGCTACAGATCACCTGTAGAAAATAACGCGGCAAAACCCCGAATAAACTGATTTTCGGCTCCAGATTAGCCGCTAATGCACCGTAGATTGTGAGAGGTGACATACGCTCAACTACGAGTCGACTGACCATTGGAAAAGCTATCTTTCTGAGGTCAAGTCTATCATCCACTACCCTATATGCTATTAACTTAATTCGGGCAACATCCCGGTGTTTGTTATCTCGTTTGGGTTGCGTGAGACCTTTAGACAACGTATAGCCATATTATTTGTAATCGTCAGAACGATTTTAAAATAAAGGCTTGGTGAGTTGACCTGGACACACATTCACTGCTCATTCTGACCAAATCCATCTGTTTCAGTATATATATCATCCAAAGTGCTTTTCGAATGCTTGTACCCATTGAACCACTGTAGCTATATGATGTCCGACCCTTCTCCCTTTCAACTACACTTCACTGTGATATTAACCTCAGTTAGTGCTCCTATTTTTCATAAATTGGATAATTCCGCTCCACAGTTCCGTATGCGCATCGCACTTGTAAAGTATAAAATGCCACTGCAAGATTGGGTCGGATCAAACCCAAACCAAACGGTTTGATGTTGTATGTAAGTTTGTTTACGTGGGCAGCTGCATAAGTCTCAGTGGTCTGGCAGAAGACGAAATCACTCTCCCGTTGGGGAAGGCCAGAGTAGCGTTTGCTAACCTCGGACATTCGTGGTGCCAACGTGACAGCAGCTTGACTCTCAAGGGTAGAGTATACAATGCCGTGATCCGATCTGTCCCAATTCGTGAATCAGTGACGTGGTCGCTGCGCGTGGATAACCTTCAAAGGCTGTTTGTGCCTGACCATCAGTGTCCCCGAACCATGGAGACAACCCCGAGGCATTCAGTCCGTGATTTGGCAGCAAATGATGATAGTCCTCACTAGTCTACTCAGTCGCCTTGGTAACTGCAACCACCTCGGATTGGGACCCCAGGACGAAAAAACAATGGTTATTGATCCTGACAGATATGGCTGTGTCGTCCAGCCCACGGCGCTCTTACATCATAGCTGTTACCTTTACTCCGTAGCTCTTAATTCCTGTCATAACAGACAAACAGAGCCGTTTGACGTCACTGAATTGATTAGGCCGTCGCTTTGAACGCGTGGCTCTCATTCCCTCTTCTTCCTTATCCTCAATGAATGAAGCTCTGGCAGCTGGAGCCAGTACATTCTGGTGCATGGTTTGTGAGCTTAATAACTGATTGACTGACGTACTCGACGTCTACTGGCAAACGTCCTCGCGCTTAAGTAGCTGGGATTTCAGTCATAGAATTTCAAGAGGTACATCAATAACAAGGTTGAAGAGGAACGCTGTTAGAAAGCAGCCTTGTCTTACTCCACTGGAAGTGGTGAACCCAGGCGAAAGCTTGCTGTATACTCGCACGCGTCCACAGGAGTTCAAATCAAGTGCCCTCACTTCGAAGGGTCACCTTTGATTGCCAGATACCGCCAAAGTCTCTGACAGTCGGCAGTCAAAGGCGCATTTCAGATCAAGGAAAACGACCAGTGCGGAACGTTTGATAGAATGGCACCTTTCGAGGCCTTGTCTCAAGGTAAGCATGCACTCGATACATCTTCGACCAGGGTGAAACCTAGCTTGATCCACACGAGTAGTGGGACATTCAAAGTGTCCACCACACACCACTGATGTTCATGCATGCAGCTGAACTAGAAGGTTCGTAGCGTGAGTAGGAATACACTGAGAGTAATATAAGGGTAATGGATTGTTTAGGAGGGTAAGAGGCGGGTGTCGTGGATCTTTTCTATGGGAGGGTAGATTATAGTATTTGCATGAAGTCGGGTACAACACAAACGCAGTCGGCCACTGCCTTATTCAAACTGATAGTCACTTCGAGCCACTGAACAATGAAGTCAAGCCAAACGTCTGCAACTTACATGGAGCGTTATTATAGGATCAAAAGTCATCATTCAACTGGGTGTGGACAATGATGGTCGCTGAGAGTCAGTTACCTCCAGCACTTCCGGAATGTCCGGAGTGTTCGTGCGGATCTTTTGCGGATGGACACGCGAAACATGTTGGATAAGCATATTAAATCACAATTCAAGACAATAATGCAAAATATAATCCCAAGTTAATAAAATAGAGTTTAACTAGCAACAAGATGCTAAGTTCGGCATGGTAACCAAACCCGGGGCTCTTCGTTGGGAATCAATTGACTCATCCCATACCATTCCCGCTTGTAGATACTTCTATTTACGGAACGTATTCAAATGTACCATATAGCCCGAAGTCTTTGATGCATCACATCACTCTGAACAATGAACATGATGCGTTCCCTCCATTTACCTTGCAGATCTTTCTCAGAAAATGGTGGCAAGATCCTTGAAACAACTTTATGGCATTAATCGTAGTGCAACGTTTATTTCTCGGATAGAACGCCTTGATATTGGCCTGAGCCACTACCTGAGCGTGTACCCTGTCCTACTTCAGTGGCTAAAAGGTACTGAAGATCCGGAAACCTGTGAAGCCATCATACGCACTGCCCTTGGTGGTCAGCCCACAGACAGCTCCACACCCGTCCACTCCCAACGCGTAAGTTGTTCCTCATTTGTGTGTTGTTTCATGGAAATAGGTATCTTTTCGACGTGTTCTGGGCGGAGTGAAGTACGCTCTGCGCCCCACGAGAGGTGAATGTGCACTGTTAGCTGGACGGATCGTTATGAGCTCTTAGTTTACTTTCACGAGGTCGCAACATCACTTAGGGTGTGGAAATTGCGGGACTACTAGTGTATCTTGATTGTTAGCGTCTAACAATTTCTCTAAAACTTGCACACGTCGACCAATATCTACAAATGAAGTCGGAAAACAGATTAGGGTTTTGTCCAAAAGATAAACTTAACCAACGTTAAAACGCTCACGATCGGTGTCAAAGTGTCCACCACACACCACTGATGTTCATGCATGCAGCTGAACTAGAAGGTTCGTAGCGTGAGTAGGAATACACTGAGAGTAATATAAGGGTAATGGATTGTTTAGGAGGGTAAGAGGCGGGTGTCGTGGATCTTTTCTATGGGAGGGTAGATTATAGTATTTGCATGAAGTCGGGTACAACACAAACGCAGTCGGCCACTGCCTTATTCAAACTGATAGTCACTTCGAGCCACTGAACAATGAAGTCAAGCCAAACGTCTGCAACTTACATGGAGCGTTATTATAGGATCAAAAGTCATCATTCAACTGGGTGTGGACAATGATGGTCGCTGAGAGTCAGTTACCTCCAGCACTTCCGGAATGTCCGGAGTGTTCGTGCGGATCTTTTGCGGATGGACACGCGAAACATGTTGGATAAGCATATTAAATCACAATTCAAGACAATAATGCAAAATATAATCCCAAGTTAATAAAATAGAGTTTAACTAGCAACAAGATGCTAAGTTCGGCATGGTAACCAAACCCGGGGCTCTTCGTTGGGAATCAATTGACTCATCCCATACCATTCCCGCTTGTAGATACTTCTATTTACGGAACGTATTCAAATGTACCATATAGCCCGAAGTCTTTGATGCATCACATCACTCTGAACAATGAACATGATGCGTTCCCTCCATTTACCTTGCAGATCTTTCTCAGAAAATGGTGGCAAGATCCTTGAAACAACTTTATGGCATTAATCGTAGTGCAACGTTTATTTCTCGGATAGAACGCCTTGATATTGGCCTGAGCCACTACCTGAGCGTGTACCCTGTCCTACTTCAGTGGCTAAAAGGTACTGAAGATCCGGAAACCTGTGAAGCCATCATACGCACTGCCCTTGGTGGTCAGCCCACAGACAGCTCCACACCCGTCCACTCCCAACGCGTAAGTTGTTCCTCATTTGTGTGTTGTTTCATGGAAATAGGTATCTTTTCGACGTGTTCTGGGCGGAGTGAAGTACGCTCTGCGCCCCACGAGAGGTGAATGTGCACTGTTAGCTGGACGGATCGTTGTGAGCTCTTAGTTTACTTTCACGAGGTCGCAACATCACTTAGGGTGTGGAAATTGCGGGACTACTAGTGTATCTTGATTGTTAGCGTCTAACAATTTCTCTAAAACTTGCACACGTCGACCAATATCTACAAATGAAGTCGGAAAACAGATTAGGGTTTTGTCCAAAAGATAAACTTAACCAACGTTAAAACGCTCACGATCGGTGATAATTGGTATCAAGGAGATAGAAAGAAAACGAAAGAAAGCGTTCAGCTGTAGCACCCTTCCGGTGCCTAGCTGCCATGCCACCTGAAGGGAGCACGAGGGCTGGGATACTGCCAGGTTGCCCAAGCACAGACAGGGGAAGTCGAGAGGCCCAGGTTGGGTTCGAACCACGGACCTTCCAGTTAGTAGATTCGCGCTCTAACCACCTGAGCGTTGAGCCTCACTGGTCCTAGTCTTTTGTGCTGCCCACAAGGCACAGTCGTTCCCGAAATATCTGTTGCACTTCTGTCTTCACTATATCCCGAAGTTTGCTAATTCTTCGTCAAGGAATCTCTTCCATGGTTTACCGCCAGGATTTTGCACCCCTCATTTCTTAACCTTACAATCCAAATGATTGCGGATTGATCATCAAATTTAGTTTACCGCCTCCGGAATCGAGACACCTGAGGAATGATGAGGAATTCGGACAACACTTCTGCAATTACCGCACCCTGCATGATTAGATCGTTCGGTGGACGACTAAGTCAACCTTTTTCACTGGATTTGGTACGAACAGTATGCCTTCATAGCTCTAGGACTAGGTGATCACATCGTCTAGCCTTCCACTTGCATCTTAAGCAGTAGAAGACTTTAAAAAACTCCCTAAATGAGCGATATCCATTCATTGAAAGCGATATCCAGGAGTAACCACACTATCCTACTCCTATTAACATACTTTGTTAGGAACCAGGTAACAGAAGACACCTAAAGAGGCATTGTTTACAAGTGCTGCGGCTAAAACTTTTGCTCTACTGTTGGCTTTCGGAGAGAGTTTCTAAGGGTCACAGTGTTCGGCGGAACTCTCGTTTGTGCGTTGTATTTACGGTCAGCTGTTACAAGTTGGTTTGATTTGAATCAACATGGGTGACTTGCTTTTTCAGTGATCACTGGGGCTTTAGCGAACTGAAAATCAATCGTTTGGTTATAGCATTCTTCTGATAGCACCCGAAGGAGAAAAAGCACTAGGATGCTGTCTTTTTCTCTACTTCAGACAGGACTGATCCAAAACACAGAGTTGGGGTATTTCGTTGATCATTTGATATAGCTATACCGGTTCGACAGGCAGGAAGGGCGTGTATCTGCATGGATGATACCCACCCAGTCAAAGTTGGGGTGAAACGAAACACTGGGTTAGCCTACCTTGATACAGTCCGTGCTGCTACAATGTGAGGGTCTAAAGGCCCAGTCGGTCATTTGAAAGCCTCATCGATGTGCCGAGCGTCAAGTAGTTGGTAAATACCGTAATCACTCCCCTTATTCCCTCTGAACATCGGTTCGCTTTACCTCAATGAACGGCAGTTTAAAGAACTGGAACTACATAATCTACGTCTGGAAAAGTGCGAATCCATTGGAATCTAAAAGTGCTTTGCTTTCTATGGGCTCATTTGATAGTTTTACTGTTAAATGTTGCACTTCATGTTTTTTTCAGAACCAACCAACTACTCCAATGAGATTTGCAAAACAACGCCTTCGAAAGACTTTGAGTAATGAGATGAAGAAAGCACTTGAAGAGGCCTTTGCAAAGGTAAACTTTCATCATGACTTATTTTTGGGTGTTGATTGTTTACAACTAAACTGCAGACTAATTTGATTGGATGTAGACAGTCATCCTTCTGGAGCGCCCGTTTTTCGAGTCTGTTTTCGCTATGGGTTATGCTACACAGCCTTTACGAAGAGACTGACCTTACCGTGGTGTGACGGTTTGCGCACCTGAGCGATCCATTGAGCTATAATGGGGGGTATCTCCGCGACATTCACAGAGTCTCTCATACCAGATTGGTTAATGGTTAAATGTCTGGCAAACAGTCTCCTGGTCCTCGAGATTAGGGGTTAAAACATGTGGCGACTTGTTCCTAGAAACAGTAATGCATTTGCATTTCTTGCCTGCCTTGCGGTTAGGCTTTTGACCCAAAGGCTTTTGTTGAGGACCCCAATCGTCCTCCTGTGTAGATGTGGGCGCCTTGACACGCACAACCACGATACCTACGTCTAATAATGAACTCACGCCACATCGCGTGGTACCATCAGCTGGGTTGTTTTACTCGGTGCATACAGCAGGGCGGTAAGCTAAAACGGGCTACTGCTGATGCCTCCCTTCTTTTTCTTTCAAATACCTTCTCTTCCCCCTCTCCCTACCCCATTAATAACCCTTTCCTTACAGACCCGGCGTTTAGGGCTGAGGATTCGTCTTGCATCCTATTTGCGTGCAACGTCTGCTCATCACTTGGCGCCGACATCCTCAGGTATCTCGAAATCCATCTTCAAGCCTCGACGCCCAGTCTATCTGGCCGCCTTCAATGTCCGCACTCTGAAGCGAGCAGTTCAACAAGCTGCTGTTGCTCTCACACTGGACTCGCTTGGTTTTGATGTGTGCTGTGTCTCTGAAACAAGGATTCAAGATACAAGCACAGTGACTGAGCTAACCGCTCCGTCAGTCTCCACTCGCTTCCAGATACGTATCTCTGGTGATCCAGAAGCTACTGCGGCGCGATGTGCAGGGGTTGGTATCGTCCCAAGTCATCGGGCTAAAGTATCCTTAATTGACTGGGTACCTGTTGATAGTCATCTCTTTGCGTTTCGTCTGGCAACGTCTGTTGATTGATGTCTATCTGTCTTGCTGCTTATGTCCCACCTGACTAGCTCCGACGCCGTCAGACAGGTTTTACGACGCTCCAAATCCCCTGCTGCGGCGAGCTAGAAGCTCAGACATCGTGGTGGTTGCCGGAGATATGAATGCTCGAGTGGGCAAGCTTAGTGTATCTGAGACTCAATTGGGAGGTCGACATGGACTGGACTCGGTACGTACGGACAATGGGGAACGATTGCTTCAGCTGTGTGCTGATCGCAGGCTGTTTTTATGCAGTACGAACTTCCGAAATAGCCGAAGTCGTCTGGCCACTTGGTGTCCTCCAACAACAGGCCGGCCACAAACTCAAATCGACCA